CCCCGCCCCGCCTTCCAGTGCGCGTGCGTGGTGCCGTGCGGGTCCGGCCCCCCTCCTACTGCCACTGCGCGTGCGCTTGCTCGGCGCGTCGCCCCGCCCCTCCCATAGCGCTCCCGCCGAACGCCGACAGCACCGCCCTGGCTGGGACGGAAGTCCAGGCCCCGTCCGCGACCCGGAAGCCTTTGCTGACCGTGCGGGGCCGGTCCCTCCTCCCCGCGGGGTCCTGCTGCCCGCCGGGTACACCCGCCCCCGGGTACACCTGCCCGCGGGTTCCTGCTGTCCGCCGGCTTCACCCGCCCGCCGGGTACACCTGCCCGCCCGGGTCGCGCTCTCACGCCCCGCACTCCCAGCCCTGGCACCGACCTGCCCCGACCCGGGCGGGCGTGACCTGCTGCCTGGTCGCAAGTGGAAGGTGCGGCGTTTGCGCAGTCGTCGTCCCTGCCCTGGCCGGTCTGTCCGAGCCCCGTGTTGGGATCTGAAGTCCTGCCTGTAGGAGGCTGGCGTTCCTGCGCTGCCCGTCCCTGCGTCGCAGCGGGGCTGGGACTTATCAGCACGCTCTAGGACTAACTGGGCTTTGGGGACGGGGTCCCGATCCACCTGGCCCACCTGGCTGGCCGGTGCTGTGGATGGAAAGTTGTACATGCAGGCAGGAGCGTTCACTAAGGATAAGTCCTGTCTAACTGACTTAGGTGTTTTTTAATTCAGTTTTGGTTATGGACACCTCAAACAAGTATACGGGTAGCAAACAGATTTTCTTGTGTGAGTAGTAACAAAAGTAGAATTGGCCTAAATTCAGCCCCCATACACTGAGAGTTAAAATCGCTGTTGCCATGCGTTTACCATACAGGCAGACTGCTGACCCACTGCCAATTCCACAGCCATTTGCACTGCCAGAACCAGAAGGTGGGCCCAGGGCGCTGGGTGTGACCTTGACCCTGCGGCCACCCCACCTCTGCTCACTGTGCCCTCACATCACCACGGTCAGCCAGGACTCTGACTGCTCTCAAAAGGGAAATATCGGTGTTTACGGAGGAGAGGCAAAGGTCACTTTCTTTCCCTGGAGGAAAGTGAACGACACCATTTCACATATTCCCAGGAAAAGTATCCCTGCGGCAGTGGGATTAGCATGTAGAATCCCTGCGGCAGTGGGATTAGCATGTAGAGTTACCTGCATGTGACAGCCGTTTTTAGTTTGTTCGATTGGAGGTAGTGGTTCATAATGACTGAAACCTGGGACAGCTTTGCTGTTGCCCTGCCTCTCACGTAGGAGTTACACCCGAGGTTACCGGTTCCTGGCTGACAGTGAAACTAGCCAGGAAGAGACCATCAGTTAAGTGTGTCCCACGCTCGCTCTGTAAGGCAGATACCATAGTAACTACTCCTTATGTTGGGTTGTCAGGAAAGTTGTGGTGCAGTTCTGCATGAAAAACCACGTCCTGGCTCTTCCAGCAGCCCGGTAGTAACAGCCACAGCCACAGACTGGCCGTAAGGTTAGGTCAGGGCAGAGTGAGTAAGCCGTGGACCACTGCACTGCCGAGGACACTCCGGCGCAGCGTAGGCGGGGCCACAGCCGGGCTCCCACGTGGACCACTGCATTTGCCCTTTCGTTTTTCTAAAGCGGTTTTAGGTTTAAAGAAAAACTGAGCAGGAAGTGGTGGTCCCGTTTTCCGACACTGAGCCTGCATGGGTACTGAGGTCTGTGGTTTCCGTTAGGGTTCGCATGGACTGTGTGTTCGATTCCCTGGCTCCGACCGAGGCATACTGACATGGACCTGCCACCGATTGCAGCGACATCTGGAACAGCTCTGTGGCCTGGGCTGGCCAGCAGTCTGTGTTTAAGGGAGCCAGACCCACCTGGGCTTCCTCGGTTAGACTCCCCAGCCCTGTGGCTTGAAAAGCCCACCTGTGTTCCTGTCTGCCCCAAGTGTTGACGGGATAGAGGAGCAGAGAAGGTTCAGGCATCGCCATGCCCACTGGGGGTGCGTTGTCCTTTCTGTTTGGCAAGAGTGCCGTGCTCTGGCGGTTAAAATCGAAGCCAACGCCGTGGTCTGGTGGTTACGACAGTGGAGCCCATGTCGGCAGCTGCGTGACTGGAGTCCCGACCTGGCAACTTGAGAAATGGCACTTGTACCTGCTTGCCCAGAGTCTCGGAAGGAAGGAGAGTGGAGGAGAAAGGGTCATGGCATCACTGTTCCCCTGGGGGTTGCTTTCTTCTTCCCCCTCTGCCTCTGCAAAAATAAAAGAACAGTCCCACTGCCCTGAAAGTCTGCCCCACGTACTCGACCTCACACCTTCGCCCTTGCTCCCAAGCCGCTGGCACCACTGACCGCGTTGTCGCCTCTGCAGTTTGCTCTCTGGGCTGTCGCAGTTAGAGCTGCAGAGCATGGAGCCTGCCCCAGGGAGGGCACGTGTCGGGCTCTTCCAGAGAGCACACGAAGGTGTCACCCCCGGCCCCCTTCTCTCGGTATTCTGGGCATGCACGCCTCTGGGCCCAGCACGTTTCCAAACCACCTGGTCGGGCTGTCCCTGCAGTTGGCACGTGGGATCCAACTGCCTTAACCACCAGGCCAGCGCTGGTCCCGGGTGTACATTTTTGAAATTAGTCCCCTCACTAGTGATCTATGTTTTAGTTTCTCCTATGCATAAGAAGCTACTTTCTTTTTAAAACTGAATCAGTTTTTTCAGGTTTTGCCATAAGGCATGTGAACTCACCAGACAGATTCAGAGAGAACAGAAGTGAGACATCACCCCCAGGGAGGCCGCACCTCAGTCCCTTCTCCATTATCCTGTCGGTTCTTGGCATGCATGCACATGGGCCAGGCGTGGTTTTCCAGCTCCGGTCCAGGATGTGAATGGCGTCGGCTCTGTGGGAACCCAGCACCTTAACTGCCCGCTGGTCCCGGGTGTCGCTGTTTCAGAGCTGTGTCGTGGTACCTTGTTTTCGTTTGCTTTTCCCTGATGACATAGACGTTGGCATCTGCTCGTATTTATCTGCCACCCGTGTGTTTTCCTTATGGTGAACTGTCTTGTCTGTTTTTCGGTCTTGATCACTTTTATCATCGTTGAGTTTTAGAGTTCTTGGTGCGTGTTGGACGTCAGTCCTTTATCAGATGTGTCTTAGGTGTGTTCTCTGCCGGGCTCTGACTTATTCATTCGTGCTGCTCATCCATTCAGAAAGAGAAGTATGCGACGTGGTCTCGCCACGCCACGGTCCTCTGCAGCTCCCAGCACACACGACGGGTGCCCGTGTACTCGGGTCAACGTGGGGTCCACCCTGCAGCCTCCCAGGGCCCGATGTCACACGGGAACTCGGTGCCACCTGTGCCCCCACAGCTGGGCCCCACGCTGGTCTTTTCATTCTTGATTTATATGTGTCATCTACGGGGGGTACAGAAAGCAGTATCGTCGGCTGGTTACCGCAGGGTGCGTGTGCTCCTCAGAGAGCGCGTGTGCAGGGCCCCACAGGCTGCGGCCACTCCTGGGTCCTGTGTCATACCTGCCGTGGTGTGTGCTGGCCAGGCACTTCGTGGCATGTCCCTTGATACCGAGGGAAGAGAGTCAGGGATGTGTGGCCGTGTCACCGCAGTCTGTCACGGCTCACCTCTCCCCGTCCCAGGGCTTCCTGTCACGTGTGGAGGAGCCCTGTGCACTCACACTCGGGCACTCGGCCCGTGGACGAGATGGCGCAGCTGTCGGCATCCCTGCAGGCTCCCCAACACTGATGAGCCCTGCTCTGCCCTTCCTCACCCTGCCCTCCTCACGGGCTGCAGCTGCGACGAGACGGCAGAGGAGGACAGGCGGAGGAGGGGAGCGGAAACTGAAGAGAGGGCACAGCAGGGTATCAGCGCCCAGGCGTGCCCCAGAAGTGCCCGAGAGGCCGAGCTTGTGCAGTGGCAGGTCAGCCTCCACTTAGAGGGGCAGGAGACCTCCGTCCTGTCCCAGCCCGTGTGCGGAGGGGCCTGCTGCCAAGCGCCACGAGAGTGCCAAGTTGCCTCGTGGGGGGCGCCCAGGCGGGGCGCCTGCTCCGGTGGGGCAGCGATGTGCAGCTCAGGCCCAGGGCCACCAGGAGCTTCAGTGACCGCTTCCACAGCTACGTTTCAGTACGTGTCTGGCCATTCCCGTGACAGCTGTCATCCCCGCGGGGTTCTCTGCAGGGTCTGTGGCAGGACAAAGACATCTGCGTGGGGTCCCTCCGTGTGTGTGTGCGTCCAAAATGCTCCGACAGGGCGGGGTCTGAGGGACAGGTCGCAGTGTGACCACACCCCATGGGGCGCAGTCTTTCCCCTCGTGCGTGAGTGCTCGGCCCTCTGACCAAGCGCCCAGACGTGTGTGTCCCTAAGGCTCTCAGACCACGCTGACACACTGACCCGAGACCCGGCCACCATGGCACAGGCGGTGGCCGCCGTTGCTCAGGAGCCACACGGGCCCGGGTTCGGGTCAGAGGACCTGTCGAACCCCTCTCAGGAAGGAGAAGCGACGTTCTGTCTTTGAGGCTGATGGTCAAGCCCAGACCGCGCTTTCTCCTGACACCGGCGAGCTGGCAGCCCCGCCCTCGACGTGGACCGTGGGAGGCTGACCGCCGGGGCCCTGTCGGGTGGGTGACACGCTGTGAAGTCGCCGTCAGGACCTCGGACCAGAGGACGGGGCTCTGTGAAGAGCCTAGCGGGCGGTCCCTCGGAGCATGCCTGTCCCCATGTGTCCCTCACAGGCACAGTTTGGCTGGCGCGGCCGTCCGTGCTTGCCAAGGCTGCGTCCGTGACGGTGACGTCCCTCCCGCAGCCTCCCTGTGCCTTCACGCCCTCCGAGTGAAGACGAAGTGCCTGCCTCTGTGCCCGCGATGGTCCTCGACCTCCGCCCCGCGGATCACCACCCACTACACTGTGCACCCCCGGGACCGGGACCCGCGGTGGGAAGGTAAGGACGCCGGCTGCCTGCATCCCCTCTCGGCCACACATCGTGTGGAGGGGCGTCCCAGCCGTCCACAATGCTGCAAGGGCACTGGGATGTGCCACTTTGCCACTTGATCCCAGTGCTGTTCACATGAGCATGTGCCCACACCGTGGTGGTAAAACTGAAAGCCAGGGGACCAGCAGTTAGCGTAATAGCAATGTCGCTGGACTCCCATGTAGCCAACCGTGGTTCGAGTCTCGGACCCGGTGGCTTAAACTCACACCGGGCATGTGTGCGTGCGTGCCCAAGATTCCAAGAGAAGAATGGAGGAGAAGGGATTGCAGCATGGCCATCCCCCCTGGGGGGTGATTTCTCGCTTTCTGTCTCTGTCTCTCTGGCAAGTGCATGCGCCCTATAGCAAAAACCTCAAAAAAAAAAAAAAAAAACTGAAAGCCAGACATGGGTGTATGGATGCCGGAATTACGATGCTCCAGAGCAGAGTAGAGGGTACACGGGCGGGTACCGCGGTCCGCCTGCCCCTCCCGTGCAGAGCCAGGATGGCTTCCGTGCCGCTGCCCTGCCCTGCGATGCGGCCCGCAGTTGTGGGGGCGGACGGGCCTGTGCTCCGCAGCTGCTGACTGCCTCTGCCACTGGTCCTGCCAGGAGTGAGCATGGAGAGGTTCGCGGAGGAAGCAGATGTGGTGATCGTCGGCGCGGGCCCTGCGGGGCTCTCTGCGGCCGTCCGTCTGAAGCAGCTGGCAGCAGCCCAGGACAAGGACATCCGCGTGTGCCTCGTGGAGAAGGCCGCGCAGATCGGAGCCCACACCCTCTCTGGGGCGTGCCTCGACCCAGGCGCTTTCCAAGAGCTCTTCCCGGACTGGAAGGAGAAGGGGGTATGACTGCGTTCCCACGCGAAGCCTGGCCACCCCCGCAGCTCCAGCCCGGGTTACTCAGAAGGAATCCTGCTCGTGACATGGGGAGTCTCCCCCCCATTTACCAAGGGCAGGAAAGGGTGAATTGTGTCAGGTGGAGCTGCAGTTTAGACGGTCGCTCGCTGTTCCCAGTGCTGTCTTCATACCACGTGTAGCAGGCATAGGCGTTACCTTGAGAAGGTCTCTGAATGTTTATACTCAGTGAAATGCAGCGTGTTTTATTTCGAGGGTATTTTTAACTTGTTCCATAAATGTCTGTATTGTTGTTCTTAGTAAAGCGATACTGGAGCTTCCTAGGAAAGACTAACAACCGAATCCAAAGAGGATAGCTTGATTTTCTGAAGGAGCAGATGGCATGCCCCTCCCTGACCCGGGCAGAACGGCCACCACAGAGGACCGAGGGACCGAGTCCTCAGCACATTGCTGTCCATAGGCCGTGGGAGGACATGCAGGAGCACTCGGCCCCTTCCTGCTCTGAGGTGGGCCGAGCGGCCGCGCCTGGTGCCACGTGCCCGGTCTGCAGGGCCCCCGCAGAGGGCCTGGTCTCTGAGCCCGGGTTCTCCTGCACATGCCGCACATGCACACTGGGAGTCCGGGCTGGCGGGCGTGGAGCAGGGTGAGCCACTGTGGGCGTCTGTCTGTCTTTATGGAAGAAATAAGATACGGAGCTTTAGAGAAGCATGTTTGGTGTCTGGACAGACTTGGTAAAGGGGGCCAAGCTGTATCATCACCTCCTGTTCTTTTCCCATATGAAGTAAGACTTTCATTTACGCTTTCTTTGTAAAATATCAAGCTCCTTCATTTATGTAGTTATTATCTGTTTATCTCTTCTATGAGAGAGGGAGAGACAGCACCCCAACGGGGCCCTGCTGCCAGGCCCCCCCTGGCCGTCAGTCAGCCCTGGGGCACGGGGCGGGTGTGGCCACATACGTATGCAGGGCGTCTGCAGTCACCGGGTGTCTCCCCTGTGGCTCCCTCACGGAGCAGGACGTTTTACTGCGGCGCCACCAGCTAGCCCCGGAGCTCCCGTAAACGGGAAACACTTTCCTTGTACCTCATTTAATTCCTCCGCTCAATATTGTACAAAAGAATAGACTTCATTAGGTTATTGACACAATAGCAGTTCTGACAGAAAATGTTTTTCACATCAAAGACCCTAATATCGCTTTGACACCCTGCGATACATATGGCCTGGCGTGTACAATGTGTTACATACGTGTCGTTTGCCTTTATCCAAAGGGAAGATAAAACTTCTCTTACCTTTTCAATAAGCAGGGAGTGTCAGCTTGGAGCCAGGCGCCTAGGCTGACTTCCTCACAGACAGGGAGGCACGGCGTCCCCATTTCAAAGATGCCAAGGATCCCAGGAAAGACGCAAAGAAAGAAAGATCTCTGGGACACAGAGCTGGCAAGACGCCTAGTTAGCTTTGTAGAAGATTCCCACACGTCGCAGTGAGGCAGAGTAAGAACTTACAGTCGCGGTTTTCTAGAGGAGATGCGGGAATGGGGCAGTTCGTTTTCCCTTTTATCATCACGGTAAAATTAAAATGTTTTTTGTATTTATCCTGTCGAATGAAAAAAGGACAATTGCAAAGTAGAAGTTGCTTTAAAAAAAGGGATTTGCCGGGCCAGCAGGTGGACTCGCTCATGGCCGACTGCTCTTTGAGTCCTGGACCCAGTGACTTAAAACTCATGCTGGGCACGTGTGTGTGCATGCCCAGAATCCTAAGAGGACAGAGGAGAAGGGGTCGCGGAGTGGCCATCCCCTTGCGGGGTGATTTCTCACCTTCCCTCTCTCCAGCTAGTGCACACACTGAATGGTGAAAACATAAAAAAAAAAAAAAAAAAGTGCTAGGGCCAGCAGGTGGCGTGGTGAAGACATGGCTCCCCAGGGCTGACGCTGCGGAGTGGGCCTGGACCTCTGGCTTCAGAATCAGCTGGGGTCATGTGTGGGCTGCCCAAGTCCTGAGTCCCGAGAGGGGTACAGGAGAAGGGATTGCGTCTCTCTCTCTCTCTCTCTCTCTCTCTCTCTCTCCCCCTCTACGGCAAGCACATGTGCCCTGTAGCAAAAAAAACTTGAAAAATCTTGCTGGTCTTACAGAGCTAGCACAGAGTAAGGGTCAGACCCCAGGGCACGTAGCCAGGGTCCCACCAGCAGGGCCCGAGGACGTGGCAGACGGGTCTGAGCCCTGGAGAAAGTAAGTGTTTATCCTAGTGTAAGGTCACGAGATGCCCTGTCTGAAGAAGGTAGCAGAGGAGGTTGCACAGACGTGGAGGGAAGGACGGGTGACTATCCGGCGGCTGCCTGGGGCGACTTAGCTGTCTGCCCAGCAGGGTGTGCGATCAGCCTGAGGGAGACGCAGACGGGACTGTCTTGGGGAGTGCCGTGAGCGCAGCCCTGGAGTGGACAGGCGGGCGGCGGGCGGGTGGCCACCCCTGCCTCCGGTTCTCTGGCCCTGGTAACTCGTGAATGTTACACAGGGTCCTCCTCTAGATAAACGCCAGCTTCCCAGCATACGGATGGGGCTACAGCGTCTCCTTCCCTCCTTCATTTCTAGGCTCCACTTAACACGCCTGTGACGGAAGACAGGTTTGGAATTTTAACGGAGAAGCACAGAATTCCTGTGCCAATCCTTCCAGGTCAGTCCCGGTAGTTCCCAAGCCACAGGGCCCCGCCGGGGAGGAGCTCTCGCTGCTGAAGTGCCCTCTTCTCACCGTCACAGACGACCAAGCCGAGGCCTGGAGATCTGAAGGACTCACTCGGGCACCAGCTCACCGGGGGAGGCAGGAGTAGGCTGTTTCAGTCCAGAGTTAGGGCAGCCTCTGACCCGGCCGGGAGCCCTAGCCTGGTGTGCTAATGTGCTTTCTATTTAGTAACTTAGGACTCCAGACCAAGTTATTTAAAGTAGGCTGGAATTACAGGAGCAGAGAGAGCCCTCCTGCCCTCCCACCCCCTCGAGGATTCAGGAGTTTGCGTCTAAGATGGATCCATGGTAGATGGGTCCGCTGGGCGGAGCAGATGCTTTATCACATGTGTGTGCATGTGAGCCGTGTAAGGTGCGAGGACAAAGGAGGGCGGGCTGTCAGAGGCTGTGGAGAAGCACAGCGGGGGCTTCCACGGGGCCCGAGGAGGGAGCACGTGTCCCGTCCTGGGTGAGCTCGCAGGGGCTCCGAGAGCTGCACTGGAGCCGAGTGGAGCTGCAGAAGTGTGTGTGTGCCGGCCCTGTGAGTGCCAAGCCAGCATTCACGCCCATAGTCCGTTCCCTGTGAGCTTCTCGCTCCAGGTGGGGATAGGCAGACCTCGGGGCTCAAGAAAGCCTTTCTGCATCCACTGTGGAGGTTTCTTTATAAATCGCAACCCCCCCATAGCTTTCCCAGCACCTCCTGTGTCTGCACTGGGGCTCCATCCCAGCGTCCCCCCTACCTGCGTCAGGACTTGATCCCAGCGCCCCCGTTCACACTCCATGCTGGGACTCGATGCCAGCTCCCCCTCGCCTGTGTCCACACCGGGACTTGATCCCAGCTCCCGTGCCGCAGGAGTATGCTGGGGCAGTGTTCTGGTGTCCGCAGTCAGTGTGGACAGGCCAGCCTCTGTGTGCCTAGGGGTCACGCGTGACCGGGAGCTGCCCAGGACCCGTGTTAACTGCGCGTCTGCTCGCAGGCCTCCCCATGAACAATCACGGCAACTACATCGTGCGCTTGGGGCACCTGGTGAGCTGGATGGGCGAGCAGGCCGAGGCCCTGGGGGTCGAAGTCTACCCTGGCTACGCTGCTGCCGAGGTGCGTGGGTTCTGTTCTAATGTTCCCTCAGAAGCAAGCCAAGACTTTTACAGTAAAAAGCTATTTTAAAAAGCTGTTGGGTTTTAGAATTGCACGGTTAGAAGGAACCTCTAAAAGGTCTAACCTGAAGATTTCCTGAATTCCTGGTGTCGAGCCCCTTGACGGTCGTCCATCTTAGGATAGGACCCCGCCCTTAACCCCTGGGCCTCGCTGTCAGTGTCTGCCCGTGGCTCCCGTGCACCTCGCACTTGCGCAGTGCGGGAACGAGCGAGTGAGGGTTACCAGGCGTTGGTTCTCGCCTGCTGTCTGGCTCGGCCCCCTTCCTGACGGCCTTCCCTCTCCCACCTCATGCTCTCCCTGTGCCAGGCCTTCCTGCCCGTTCCTGCTGTGGCTTGCTCTGGAGACAGAGCAGCTGTCCGCTCTCTGGTTCCCGGGTCCCTAGGAGCCCCCTGTTCTCTTCCTCACCCGGGTTGCCGTGCGCACCTCCAGCCGCTCCAGCCGTGTGCACCTCCAGCCGTGCGCTTTCCCCGCCCAGAAGGCAGCGCCTGCAGAGGGGCTCCCTGTGCCTGAACGCCCTCCAGCCTGTTGCTGCGGTGCAGAGGGCCTGTTCACACGCCGCAAAACCCAAGGCTCTGTCTGTCCTTTGGCAGGTTTACGAGCCCTAAGGTGATGGCACCTTTGCTTCATGTCACTTTAGGTCCTTTTCCACGAAGACGGCAGTGTAAGAGGAGTTGCCACGAACGACGTGGGGATACACAAGGACGGTGCGCCCAAGGTCAGCCCGCCGACGCGTGCGTGTGCGTGTGCGTGTGCGTGCCAGCGAGGGAGAGAGATGGGAAAGAGCGGCTGGTTACTGGTCAGGAGCTTCCTCTCGTTAGAGTAACAGCTTCGCGTGACCTGCTCTGGGCATGTAGGTGGAGTACGTGGAAGGGAAACGTTTTAAAGGATGAGAACATGACTTTAGCGTCAGCAGGTGCTATGCCAGTGCAGGCCCTGGGCTCCCACAGGGCTGACCACAGTTAAAGCCCTAGACCTGGTGGCTTGAAAATCATGCCGGGTGTGCGTGTGCCCAAAACCACAGAGGGGAGTGGAAGAGAAGGGATTGCAGTGTGGCCATCCCCCTGGGGGCGATTTCTCACTTCCCCTGTCTGCTGAGCACACACACCCTATGGCAGAAACCTAAAAGAAAAGCCTAATACGAACACACACACGCCACAGGTTTCATCTCCCCACGCTGATGGGGTATTAGGCGTCACAGCCAGTCCAAGGAGAGTGAAGCTGGACACACTGTGTCCCGGCACCTGAGCTCGGGCAGACAGACCAGCCGGGCTCCTCTCGGGAGCGGTGTGGCACGCGTGGGCCTGGCGGGGCATCCCTGGGTGAGCGCGTCGCCTCCTGCCTTCCTCAGCCCAAGGGTGAGCCTCGCTGCTCCTCAGGCTCCCATTGCAGGTTCCAGTCTGAGACAGGGAAGCACTAGAATGTGGAGCTCCCCCCTGCGGGCCTCGGGAGGCAGGAGGGGCCTCGCTTCCCTGCGATGAGGGCAAGCCACACTCGTGCAGGAAGCCGCCTTCTCTGTCCGTGCTGCGTGTTTATTGCGGGGCCCCAGGAGACTGCCAGCTGCCCAAGGACAGTGGGCCTGGCGGCTGCTCACACCCAGCGCAGCACAGCCGGCACCGGGCGGGCCGGGCCTCGGTCCTTACCTGGCCACTGCTGGGAGTGGCTCCCTCACCCTCTGCTCACCCTGCCCTGCCTAGAGCTAGCACCCACGCTCGGCCTCCCCCCTGCCCCAGAGTTGCCCTGGGCTCCACACCTCCTGCCCGGGCCCAGCTGGTGGTGAGCAGGCCCAGGGACTCGACGCCCGCCCGGTGCATAGCCACCCTTACCCACACCGCCCAGGGTGGTGAGACTGTGTCACGTTTCCTGGCGTGGGGCCACCGTTTTCTACGTTATGGTGATTTTGTTGTATCTTGTTCTTTAAAAATGTGTATGTTTGGTATTAAGTGCAGCTGAAGCTCAGGTTCTGCCGTTCTGGCACTAATCTTCCGTGTCCTCATTATTGCAATCTGGTTTTTTGTGTTCCTGTGCTTTGCGTTGGGAGGGACATTTAAACGTCATACATGGAACCTATTCAGGTGTAAAGCCATTCAGAGTACAGGGAGTCTTCACGATCTGAGGCCCTCGGGCTAGCTCTGCCGCCTTTAGTTGAGAGAGCTGGTCCCATGTGGCCCGCTGGGTTCAAGTCCCAGACTCAGCCACTTGAGAGGCATGCCAGATGCCCAGAGTCTCAAAAGGAGAGAGAGACAGAGACGGGACTGCAGCACGGCCCTGCCCCACGGAGGTGCCTTCTGTCTCTGTCTCTCTCTGGTGAGCTCATGTGCCCTCGGGCAGAAACATGAATGAGTGAATAAATGCTACAAGGCTGGCCGAGGGCAGCGTCCTGCAGTGTTCGTACTAGAGACAGAGTAGGAGCGGCCAGTCCTCCCGTCCGCCAGCAGGGGCCTGCGTGGGCGTCTGTACCCGCGTGCGCGGCCGCGGCCTTTGGGAGGAGGCCTGAGCTGGCAGGACTCGGGGAGATCTCAGGTGGCGGTGAGAGCCAAGGAGAGGAGCGTTTGCCTTTATGACCTTGGCTGTGGAAGCCGGGACTGCAGAGAGGTCAGGTGTGCGTACATCTCAGTGCACGCAGACGTCGTCATGTAAACCGCACACGCGGGGCTGTGGCGTGGTAGAGGAGACAAGCTGAGAGGGCGGGTGGGCCGAGTGACGTGCACGGCGGTGTGCATGCCTGTGTGGCACACGTGTGTACACGACATGAGTGAGCGCTAGAGGAAGACGGACGTTACCGACAGCGTGTGAACAGCAGGTGATTGACCGAGTCACTAAAACTGCAGAGCTGGGCCAGCAGGGCGTGGGGTGAAGGCAGGGTCCTACGGCCGGCCGCGCAGTCTGAGTCCCAGACACAGTGACTCGAGAGTCACGCCGGCATGTGTGCCCAGAATCCTGAGAGGAGACTGGAAGAGAAGAGATTGTGGTCTGGCCATCCCCCCAAGGGGGTGACTTCTCACTCTCCTCTCTCTGCGGAGCGCTGAGCCGTGGACAAGGGGGAGCTGCTGAGCTGTGAAGCAGTAACAGCCTAACGTTAAGGCCAGACCTCGCTCACAATCGCACTCTGTGCTGCTTCTGTACCCCGTCCTGGCATCCCCACGTTTCTGTACCTGTCAGTGTGCACCTGAGGGAGAAGGAGGAAGCCCTGGTGGGCGTGGCCGTCCACACTCCCTTCTCTGTCTCTCCGTCTTGCCGGGGTTTGGGGCACCCACTCACACACAGCTGGTGTGTTTCCAAGCCCGCAGGGCCAGTTTTCGAACCACAGTTGGCCAGGCGAGATCTGGCTCCTTGACCCACCCGACCTCGGGGCCAGCACTGCACTCTCATAGTTGAAGTTCAGCTAACCAAATATAAGTGTGTTCTGACTGTTTCTCCCTTTTAGACGACCTTTGAGAGAGGACTGGAGCTACATGCCAAAGTCACCATCTTTGCCGAAGGGTGCCACGGCCACCTCGCCAAGCAGCTGTATAAGCGGTTTGATCTGAGGGCCAGCTGTGAGCCCCAGACCTACGGGATCGGACTGAAGGAGGTAGCCAGCCTCGTCATGTTGCAGTCTTAATTCTGAAAGATGGAGCTTAAACTCATGGTCTTCCCGTGTAGTTTATAATGTTGGTTTAATCTGCGTTTGCATTCCCCACTGTCTCGAGTTGTTCATTGCAGCTAAGGTACTCAGGGCGCTGTGCGAGAGGCTAGGAGGTCCCAGCGATCACCCCCGCTCTTGTCTCAACCGCCTGCATGTGGGAACTGTGTCACTTCTCATGGCCTTGGAAAGAGCTGGGCCTTGGTGTGCTTTTCTTGGTGGTGGCACCCGTCCCCCACTGGACTTGCATCCACGTGCCGTTTGCCGGAAGAGCACACCATGAGGGTTTTTAAGAGCACACCATGAGGGTAGCTTAGTGCATGAGATGCACAGCTGGTGTGCCAGCCCGGAACTGAGTGTCACGAGTTTGTGCACACGTGGTCTGTCTCCCAAATCACGGGTTTATTAGCCTGTAGAATTATGACCCTTTTGTTTAAAAAGTTTCAGGGTAATGTCAGAAAGACTCCAGTTCCACTGTCACTCAATTTGCTGTCATGAGTGCGGACGCGGCCTTTCGGTAGTTGTGCAGTATCCGATGACAGCCCGACCTGAGTCGTGGTGGGTGTCTCAGGTGGAAATAGGTAAAATGTCCCATCGGAAAACCCAGTGACCAGTGTGCCTCAGTGACAGGGCGGGGGGTGCACTGGCACTGAGGATGACCTCTGAGCAGCGAGCCGACAGGGCCTAAGCGCAGCCGTCCTCGGTCCACACCAGGCCAGACGGCGGGTGCCGCACCCGCATCCGCGTTTCCTGACGCCCCTCTGGGGGCTTCCCGGGACGGAGGCTCAATAACGTGAGCCTTGGGGATTTTTAGGGGTCCTGGCTTTTCTGCCCCTTCTCTTCCTTCTGATGAGTCTTGCTGCAGTTTGATAGAATTTTCATGATTTGAAGTCATTCTTCTGTGTTTCTCATGACTTTTTATTGTAGTTTGCATAAGTCACACATAGAACCTGGGGAGTTTTCTGCATCATGGTAACAGAAACATTTAAATACGACTACAGAGCTTTTCTTGGTGGCTTTTTGGGTGTTTCAGTTATGGATTATCGACGAAAAGAAGTGGAGGCCTGGGCGAGTGGACCACACGGTCGGCTGGCCCTTGGACAGACACACATACGGAGGGTCCTTCCTCTACCACCTGAACGAAGGAGAGCCCCTCGTGGCTGTTGGCTTTGTGGTGAGTCGCGCCCGCTGGGGAACCCACCGTTGGGGCTGCCGGCCCTTGCTGCAGAGCGAGCGTTCCCGGCCCTGGAGATGCACGCAGCTCGGCTGCACCGGCCACCCGGGGTAGGCTCCACGCCGGGCGTTCCCGGGACGTCTGGGGAAGTTCCTACCAGCCCTCTGAGTCAGGCCTGTCCTTGTCTCACTGAGAAGACGGAAGTCCGAGGACTTGGAAACCCTTCCCCCACACTCAGATTACTTGCCGGGCAGCGGGCCAGTGCGTCCACCTCGGCACTCGCGGTCACTGGGGCAGCACGGCCTCAGTGCCGACCAGGGGCATCCTGACCTCAGGCAGCTGATGCTTGTGACCTCGGTGTCTGCAGCAGTTACACCCTGAGCCTCACCAGGCGGCAGTGGGAGCCACGTGGGGTGTGCACGGGTCCTCACGGGTGTGCTGTGGCGAGCGCGCACTCGGGCAGCCTGGGGAAGGCTGTGTGTCTCGGCCCTTTGGAAATGCCTGGCGCGTGCAACCCGAGTTGGCACCTTCGGCCTCAGTGATACTGTAACGCCGATTCCTGGTCTGCCCTAGAGTGGCTACTGCCAGGCGGGATAAAGTAACTACAGCTCCTCCCGTGAAGAGGACGTCGTCGGAGTTACTTACGACAGATCTGTTTTAGTTTTCAGTTTAGAGTCCCACTGGTTATAAACACAGCGTTTTTTTTACTCTTTTTCCAAACAGATTCTACACAGGCATTTAAATGTATGTTACTGTATGTATTTCTCCAAATACTTTTGAATGTAAGAAACTTTACATGCTTTCTAGTAGAGACTGACGACTCTTAGCCTGATGAAACGTGAATAAAACGCCTGCTTGTATAAACGTATCAAATGTACACACTTTAAGGTCGGTCTGGACTATCAGAATCCGTTCCTGAGTCCCTTCCGTGAGTTCCAGAGGTGGAAACACCACCCCAGCGTCCGGCCGACCCTGGAAGGCGGGAAAAGGATCGCGTATGGTGCCCGGGCACTCAACGAAGGGGGCCTCCAGGTACCATCGGCCGCGCTGTGCCTGTCACACACGCACCTTCCTGGTCGAAGGTTCAGGCACTTCTTTACGGAGTCTTTGAGAACCCTGAGAGGCAGTAATTGCAACATTGGTTTTGCTGAGCTGACAAGTCTCCTTCGCTTGGTGCGGATGAGCGTGGGACGTGTTGAGCGGAAGCACGGTCACCTGCTCGCCCTTCCCGGCCCCATGGGCTTGTCCCCCCACAGCCCCTAGCCCCACGGCCATGTGGTGAGCGCATAGACTCAGACCGGCTAAACTGGGGTTAATCACCCCCCTTTCTTCTTTCATTGCTTTATCTCATGACTGAGGTCTAAATAATTGTCTTTAAAACTTCATTTGGGAATTCTCAAGTTTGTGTAATTTTTAGTTGCCAGAGGGCACGTGAGCTCAGCAGAAGGGAGAAAGCACCCCTTGGGGCTCGGTCACACTGCAGCCTTGTCTCCTGTTGGGGTTTGGGTCATGTGCTCCACGCCTCGTGTGGTCTTCGGCCAAGGCCAGGATTCCAGCCGTGGTCGGCCGTGTGGAATCGGCTCCCTCTGCACTAGACCGCAGGCCCAGCCTCGGAATGCATGAAGGCAGCAGCTAGCTGTGCAACCCTAATGGCCTCGAGGTCGCAGACTTCGTTCCTCGGTGGGAAACTAAGAGGGTGTACACAGAATGGGTGAGCAGAGCATGGCTCGGGTGCCAGGCCTAGGCTGGGAGTGTTCTGAACCGTGGCACCGACACGCAGAACCACCGGGTGTCACGCTGTCACAGGCTGCCTGGCTGCCCTCCTCCCGTGTCAGAAGGCAAGCTAGCCAGGGCAGCCCTGTGCCTGTCCCCGCCCCAGGATAGGGGGACGAGAAGGCTGTCCCCGCCAGCTTCCCTTTGCTGCTTCCTCAGTGCGGGGACTTGGCAAGGCCGTGCTTGGAGCTGATGTAGGTTCCGACCCTCTCTCCTCAGTCTATACCGAAGCTCACCTTCCCGGGCGGCTTACTGATCGGGTGCAGCCCTGGCTTCATGAACGTGCCCAAGATCAAAGGGACCCACACAGCAATGAAGAGCGGGGCTTTGGCAGCGGAGGCGGTTTTCAGCCAGCTGACAAGGGAGGGCGTCCAGTCAGGGACCAAAGGTAAGAACCTCCTTCCGGGCCTGAGGGAGGTTGCTGGCCACGCCCTGCGGTTGACATTCACAGCTGCCTGTCATTGTCACATCGTCCCTGTGCAGACGTGCAAGCAGGCTGGCAGCGGCTGTCCCCTGCCCGAGGTCTCGCAGGGACGGTGCCGTGTTTGCACTGCTCGCATGTGGCCCACAGGGACACGTCAGAGATGCCGCAATCTCTCCGGGCTGCAGGTAGAGCAGCTCTGTGGGAGGCAGCACCCGCCGTCTCCCCCTCTGCCATGTATCCTGCTGGGGCCTGCACTCCTGTGTGGGGAGAGCAGCACGCACCTCCCCCTGGGGGAGCCCCTCCAAGGCCCCCCACCCTGCGACTTCATCTCCCCCACTGTCCCAGCTGCTGGGCTCCTTCATTTCTGGGTGTGCCCGCCTGGTCCCTGCAGGCTGCTCCTCGGGCCTGGCCTTTGTTCAGACCCCACTCTTCCAGTGTGGGGATGCAAGGGGGGAGGGGGCCACAGGAAGGACCGAGGGCACCTGGGGGAGAGCAGGCCAGGCATGTGCTCCCCACGCTCTGCAGGCAGAAGTCCGCTGCCCGGGTGTCAGCACAGGCCCCACACCCAGGTCTCTGGTGAACCTCTCTTGCCTCTTAGGCTTCCTTCGCTGGCCAGCGACCCCATCCCCACCTGTGTGGTTCACCCACCCTGGCTCTGTCACATCGCTAAAGGACATTAGGCCTGAGGGACCCACTCGCCGCGGTGGGCCTCCCCAACTGCGCTGCGGCCTCCTCCCCGGTTACAGCCAGCAGGGCAGGCTGGCAGCCTCAAGGTGCCGTTGTGGGGACGCACACCAGCCCTACTGGGCCATGGGAGTTCCGGTCACAAAATAGGAAATTTTTCCTTTTTAAGAATTATTTAGGGGCCAGCAGATGGCTTAATGGTTACAGGGTTGGATTTCCAGAGTCGACCACAGTTTGAGTCCTGGACCTAGCTTAGAACTCACACCAGGCACCTGTGTGTGCCCAAAACCCCAAGAGGGGAATGGAGAGGGGACTGCAGTGTGCCCATCCCTGAGGGGTGATTTCTCGTGCGCACGCTCTCTCTGTTGAGTGCACATGCTCTATAGCAAAAAAAGAAGGAAAAAAAATTTAATTCACCAGAGAAAGAGAGCGAGGGAGGGAAAGCAAGAAGGCAAGCTTCCAGATCCGCGACGCAGGCCCATCGGCCCTGTGCGGTCCAGCACGCTAACCACCACACCACATGCCGGCCCTGGAATGTTCCAGGTTTTTTTTTTGAGAGGTTTTTGCTATAGGGCGCGTGCGCTCGCCAGACAGAGAGAGAGAGAGACAGTGAGAAATCACCCCCCAGGGGGGATGGTCACGCCGCAATCCCTTCTCCTCCATTCTCCACTCGGGATTTTGGGCACGCACGCACACATGCCCGGCGTGAGTTTTAAGCCACTGGGTCCGGGACGCGAACCGCGGTCGACTACGTGGGAGTCCAGCGACATAGCCAGTATGCTAACTGCTGGTCCCCTGGAATGTTCCGGTTTTAGTCAGCACGTCTTGTTTCCGTTTGTTTCACTGAATGTTGAACATCCCGTGCTACCACATACGCAAGTGCCTTCTGTCCGTGAGCAGACGGTCTGCAAGGGCACCTCAGAAAGCTCATGGCAGGCCGGACATACGGGCCGAGTTTATTCTGGTGCCACACAGACCTAGAGATCTATGCAAGTTTCCATAATAAATGAGCATAGTTCGTGACTCTTTGAAGACCCCTCTTCAGATGGTTCCTCTTCCTGGCAGACGCCAGTGCTCACACCCGAGCGGCTCTCCAGTGAGGTCTGGGGTGAGCTGTTGGTACCAACACCTTGGGAACCACTGAGGGACAGCCACAGGGAGACACCCGATGCTGTGGGCGGGCCCTGCGGGCGGGCCCACGCTGTTCTGCTCATCCCCTGAAAGGGCTGCACGTCACTGAGTACGAGGACAACCTGAAGAAGTCCTGGGTGTGGAAGGAGCTGTACTCTGTCAGGAACATACGGCCCTCCTGCCACGGCGTGCTGGGGGTCTACGGAGGGATGGTCTACACGGGGGTCTTCTACTGGATCTTCAGAGGGATGGAGCCGTGGACCCTCAAACACAAAGGTCAGTCGGACACAGTAGAGCCGGACCTGGAGCAGCACGGCTCCCGCGGCGGGAAGGCCCTCGCCGTGCTGTACTTGGGGGTCACAGCCCGTCCTGCAGGAGCCGTGCACTGTCACCGGAGGCTGAAGGCCTCGCTGGTGTAGCATGCTGTGGGTTTGAGAGTGTGCCTAGGGAAGGCCTTCACCGTTGCTCCATCCCACCTTCCCCAAACCGCTGAAGGTGCGGACTCTGAGCAGCTCAAGCCAGCCAAGGACTGCACGCCCATCGAGTACCCAAAACCGGACGGGCACATCAGCTTTGACCTCTTGTCATCCGTGGCTCTGAGCGGCACCAACCACGAGCACGACCAGCCGGCGCACCTGACCCTCAAGGACGACAGCGTGCCCGTGAGCAGGAACCTGGCCGTGTACGACGGGCCCGAGCAGCGCTTCTGCCCCGCAGGTCAGTGAGGGCTTCGGCCTCCACTCCCACGTGCTCGCAGACGTCTGCTCTCAGCGCTCCCAACTGCCTTTCCAGCCGGGTGCCAGTGCCCTGGAGCGTGTCCGGGAGAGGCAGCACCTCACTCCCCAGCGGCTGGTGCTCGGCTGGGGACATCTGACGGCTGTCTTGAGCCTGCTTCAGGTGGGGGTTCTGCAGAGTTTTCCCTTGTGTCCTCCACTAAGACAGCAACCATGAAAAACGACACCTAGCCATTCTGTGCTTGCGGGACGCACGAGTGCCACTGGTCAGGGCAGTTACATGTGCCCACCCCGCTGGAGTCCACGATGGCACCTGCACTTGGGCAACCTGTGAGGGTTTTTAAAGAGAGATTTTTGTCATAGGGCAAGTGCACTTGCCGGAGAGACGGACAGAAAGCAAACCACCTTCTAGGGTGATGGCCATGCCACAATCCCTTCTCCATTCTCGTCTCTGGGTCTTGGGCACGCATGCACATGCGCCCAGTGTGAGTTGTAAGCCACTGGGTCCAGGATACGAACTGCAGTTGACCCCGTGGGAGCCCAGTGACGTAAGCATTACTCCATCTTCTGGTCCCTGAGTACGGGATGCTTTAATGCCAGTCTTTCAACCAAAATCTCAGTGGTGGAGGGACGGGCTCGAGTGTGCAGTGGGATAAGCAGGATTCAGGTACCTAGAAGTTTGTCCGTTCTTGAGAGACTTCTAAGCAAGTTCTTCCAGGGCAAGGCCTTGTTTTGACTGTTCTGTAAACACTGTCAAAATACACGTCCACCACCATGGTGGGCCGTCAGCCAAGAGGCAGGGCTGGATCGAGTTCTCAACTACCACCTGACCTAGGGTGGCTGGGCTCGACTGCAGTGGTACAAAATCACATTTTCATAGTTTTCGGCTTCCCGTGGGTTTACCAGGGCACACCCCGTTGGGAGATGTCGACCCTCCTGATGCACTCTTAGGTGTGTCTGACAGAGCAGAGTGACCCCCAGGAGCCTTCACTGCTGCGGGGCGAGCCGTCCGGAAGGCAGCGG